CCTCCTCCTCCTGCCCCACGTGGATGAGCGGCTTGGCTGGGAAGCAAACTTGAATGTCCCCTGCCTTCCGGCCTGGACCAGTGCAGGCCTCCACCTGCCTTTCCTAAGTCAAAATTGAGCTTATAGAAACCTGCAAAGATTAAATTAATTCTGCCTCGGGCTTTTTGACTGTCTGTACTTAAGTCAGCTGCCTATTTCCTTTAATGCCCCTGTTTTGAATGATTAATCCAAATGTAAAGAATCACAATAGTTATCATGGATTGTGTTATTCAATTTACCAACTTCTCATCCTGCTTTTTACAAGCATTGTCACTAAATACTGTTAAAATGCTTTTTGGGGGACTCCGATTCAACAACAGTGTTTAAAAATAACCGCATTCAACACTGGCATAGCGCAGAGTCAAATAGTTATTCTAATCACGCAGTCAAGGTTTTCTTAACAATCTCTTATAGACTTAGATTTTTGCTTAAAGTGGTCCCTTGCTCTAAGTCAGAGGCATTAATTTCTAGGTAACAGGCACAAATGTCCTTCAAAGCTCCAGTAAGTGGTCTCATTAAGTACTTGAGCAAACTGAAGGGTTCTGCATCAGATGAAAAAGCTGAAAATAAAGAGCTGTATTGTTTCTTCAGTTGAGGGAAGCTGCCTACATATTGTAGTAGAGAAGAACAAAGAAGAAGTTGCTACAATACAGAAGAAAAGGGGCAGATGGTCCCAAAAAAAGACCTTTTTTTTGACAGAGCAAACATCTCATAATCAGGGAGTTGAGACCTTTTATTTTCTTTTTAGAAACCATGGTTGCCTTTAAAAAAATCTACATGCAGCTTTCTCATGGGCATTTAATGCCAAAGATTCCTCCCAGCTGCTTTTGCAGTATGGGACAACTTTTTCACATTGATATAACTTTATAGCTGCAAGTCAGGTTGTTAACTGCTAAAGCACAAATATTTGCACCCACAGTTTTCTATGCCAAACCCAAAATCAGTGATTTCAAATCAGCAAGCAAAGACAATTGTCTCTGTTCATTCCTTTCAGTTGTTGGGTGTTATTGATCTTTTCTGGTTGTATTAGATGCTAAGTGAGATGAAAAGGAGACCATTTTGATTTTGGGGTCCTGCAGATTTTCAGCACTTATTACAAAAATTACAAACAGCTACATATGCAAATCTTGCTGATGGTAAAAACACAGCTGGAAACCTTGGCTTCCACAAATGTATACCGGAACCTTTGTTGAGAAATGTGCAGGATTTCACTGAAAAACAGAGCCTCTGTACTTGTCCTAAGTGCACTGGCTGCTTAGGAGTAAGCTACAGCATGCTTTATTCTGACTGGGGAAGCCTTTGGATCTCATCAGCATCTGATGACTTAGGATCTTAATAGTAAGGGGGGTTGGGTTTTTAATCAACTCAGTAGCAGCATAAGTATTAAACATCAAGCCTGAAAGCACAGAACAAACTCGGTGTGGTTTCTGGATTTCATTTAACCACCAGCTTGAGCTTACACAACAGGGTGCAGCTACACGTGCAATGCAGGCAACGTGATAAACTCCAGAGCACTTTGAGCCTGAGTGAACTGCTCCTGGGTGCAATGTCTACACATGCACCCAGCACAGCAACAATTTGAGCTGGGGTGGACAGCCCCCCTGGCTGGCTGAGCTGACCAGGTGCAATTTGCACCCCCAGTCGACGTCTAGATGCGTGTTTCAGTGCAGTAAAGTACTCCACCATAAGACAGTACTGTCCCTGACAGTACTATCCTGCGGCAGAGTTAATTAGTTTACTGCACCCTAATTCTGGTGCATATGTAAATGGTGACGCTTTACTGCGGAGCTAATTAGTCAAGTCTGCAGTAAAGCGCGTGTGTAGATGCACCCACAGTATTGTAGCATTCATGACGTGACTCATAAAAAGAAAAGACCGGGTAGTAATTTATTCCACTCAAGATTGGTAGTAGCACAACACCTGGGAGGTGTGAAATAACAATTGTCTGGACTCCATTTCCCTTTGCAAATTGTTTCTGAACTATCTTCTTAATCTTATTAATACTGACTGGTTCTTTGTATTATAATTTCCCAGGGAGTAGCAGACTCGAAAAGATTAAAACCCTCTGAGCCAAGGATGACCTAAATTCTGATAGCTTTTATTATGTAAATCCTTGAAATCAAAGGTCAACTTCTGGAAAGATCTGAGGTTAATATGAGTTCACATATTCAGGTGCTATCTGAATCATATGCATGGCTCAGTGCTAAATGCATGTACTGTAGAAGATTTTTAAAAGACCTAATTGATTTAAGAGAATGAGACTCATTATCAGAAGAGATGTGGGCAGGTAGGAGTCTAAATCCCATAGGCTGTCCATGAAACTTTGACTCCTAAATTTCTGAATCACTTCTGAAAACAGGGCTTAAGTCACTTGGGTACATTTGAAAATATACCTCTTCTTTAGTAAGGACTGTATGTTCAGAAAGTGAGAAACTCCTGATTGGGGAACAGTTTCTCTCCTTACAGATATAACTCTGTGTGTGTGTGTGTGTGTGTGTGTGTGTGTGTGTGTATTTGCACATGCGCGCACATGCATGTGTGTACACATATATATATATTTTTAAGAATACTCTTTGTGCTTTTGGGCTTCCTTTTCTTTTGTACATAGAAAAAAACAACTAAGCATGAAGAAAGCAGAAAGCATTCATGAAAACAAACTCCTTGTTTCAAGATGGTTTCCACACGTACCTTCTTGCTCTCTGTAGTTATCAAATCTTTTATTTAGTTAGCCATACATAAGGAAAATCCAGGTACTAGGCAGAGAAGGAAATGTATCTGAGGCTAGTCCTATACAAGTTAATTGTAAAACACTGTATCAGCTCAGATCAGAGTAGGATTTAGCCCTAAATGTGGACTGAATCTTTAATAAGTATTCAAAATACAACACTTTTGCATGGATTCTTGCACCAAAAAAATGGGTGAATAGTTTGAAAATATCTGCAAATAAATAGCATCCCTTGGCAACTGTAGATGGCTAGCACAACTGGAAGAGTTTTAATGGCAGTGGTATAATTTTGACTTGTATAGGAAACTCTTAGGTAACTCATCTACATTAAAGCATTTTTCCTCTTTCTGCTGGTTTCCCAAAACGTAAGAGCTGGAACTAAAACCATCACTAAGCCACTGACTTGGTTATTGAAAAGTGCTTACCCCCTCGTCCTTAATATATGAATTCAGGCCTTTTAATTCTATTTGCTTTTACACTAATGTAATACCCATGCTTGTAACATGCATTTTAGCAGAAACTCTCGAAGAATTTTGCACAAATGCATGAACTGAGGAGTGCAGCACAGTAGCTGTGCAGTAGACAGAATACGCTATTCTTGGACAAACTCAAGCAGAGGGGGTCAGACCAAGATTTCAAGACTAAGTCTGCATGCTTCCATTTTGGGAGAGGGACACCTGGAAATGTAGCCCCAAACCAGTGGACATCTTTAAAAATGTTTTTTCTAAGGGGGTTGTGGGTAGCCATACAAAAAGTCAGGAAACATCCCCTTGAGGAGCAACACAGGGAGCTCAGTGACTCAGTTTTCCATTGAGAGCACAGGGTCAGATTTTCTGAATGTGTGTATCCCAGTGCAGATCAAGATGAACTCCTGAGAAATAAGTAGAGTTATACCACTGCAAACATAATACGAGGCTCTGGGCTCTATGTTGTGAAACATGTAGCTTTCTCTGAACGGCTGCTCCTCATCTAGTCTGCTTAGATGTGCAGGCTTCATATACTCTTAACAACAAATCATACCGGTTTATGGTCCAGCTGGCCTCCTGAACAGTAACGTGATTTTACCAGCTCCGCAGACTCTCCCACGCAAGCATCTCTCTAGTCCTTAATGTGTTTCTCTGCCTCCCTTCAAGATGAATTGGTTTGTAATTGCCAGAAGCAGCAGACAAAATACAGCCTCATCGTTGCCCCGTGCATCAGCTCTGTTCTCTCTGAAATCCCAACAATTCAGCCGGGCGTTTCCCGGTACAGGCCTTGGAGCTGCAGGAGGACCAGCAGAAAATGGGTTAATAGGATACACATTAAGTGGAAAACATTTGCACATAAGTGCCATTAAGATTTGCTGGCATATCGCCAGCTCGATTGGTATATCACCAACTCCTCAAGTCACACTTGATGGGAAACCGCCGTACATTTTAGAGGGGTTTGTTCCCGTCTAGGAACTAGGATGTCTGTCATTGTTCGGATATCCACAGGATAGCTGGCTGCAACTTTTAGTCTAAAACTTAACAATCCCGTGATCAAAATGGTTTGGGATTAATGAATCGGCACAAACTCGTTAAGGGGTTCATCACTGCCTAGTAAAAACACAGGCTTGTCTGAATTCATCCCAATGCAGTTGGTCCATTAAAAGATATCACCCACGAAGTCCTCACCTCTAGTAAAAACATACAGCCTATTTCAGTTGGGTGTTGTTAGGTCCAAAAGCCAAATTCTTAGAGACATGATTATGCCTCAGAGATGCTCTATGGGATGCTGCTTGGCCAGACAGAGCTGACCCGGGCTTGATACATCTTCTTAGGGTTAATGCTGCAGAGTGCTGAATACATACAATTAGAGGCAAAATCGATGGGAGTTAAGGGGCTCATCTTCTGTCAAGAAGGGGTTATAATTTGTTAGTTGGATGAAGAGTTAATTCAAAACATACCATTCACTTCAGGCAATGGTGATATATGAGAGACTGAAATGCAAATTGATTGAAAAATGACTGTTTGATATTCTGCTATGATTGTTTCACTCTGTTGCTTAAAATTCAATTCCGGCAACCCGACTTCAGTACCCAACACACCCATTTGGGTTTGAAAACACAAGCTTAGTTGTCGTTTAGGATCAGAAATAATGTTCATGTGGAGTCCTGATTAATGCTTTCTGAGCTGGGATTAGAGAATCAAAGGGTTAAGTCTCAACCCCTCTCTCTCTCTCTCTCTGATTTGTATTTCCTTCCCCTCCTTCACAGCTGTGGACATGGATGGAAGATCTGCAGAAGGAGCTCTTAGAGGATGTCTGTGCTGATTCAGTGGATGCCGTTCAGGAGCTTATCAAGCAGTTCCAGCAGCAGCAGACAGCTACCCTGGATGCTACTCTCAACGTTATTAAGGAAGGGGAAGATCTAATCCAGCAGCTCAGGTAAATGTTCCACCTTGAGGAGCGATGGCAGGAAGCCTGATGAAATGTTGTGCCTTAGGCACTATTTAATGGGGGAATTTAAGTTAGAATTTAACAGGAGGATTTATTCATTTCCTATTATACTTACAATGATGCAGGCTCTCACAATGTTTTATTGAAACTGTGAGAAGTGATTTGTGTAGTCTGACAAGGAAAGTCTATGAATCGGCATGGGCCGCTACAGATGATGGATGGGTAGCTCGATAGGCAGCCTAATGTGACTCAGATTAAATGTGTTTCAGGTGAATATTTTAAGTGGGTATTTATGGAAGATTGTTAAATGGTTGCGAGCTGTGGCCTGGTGATTTTATATGATTACTCCTGCCATGTGGAAGCTGCATGCTTCTAAATAAAACATGCATATTTGTACAACAGGCTGCACTCTTTCATGCTGTACAGTATCTTTCCATTTAGCTGTGTCTGTGGGGGGCTTATTCATCCTGTCAAGCAGTGTCTACTATTATCACTTCGGTTTGCAATGTGAATTAAAACTACTCATTTTAACTGATACAGAATGCATTAGTTGACTGATTGTCTGAAATGTTTCTGCTGTCTCGGTAAATACAAATGATTTAACTAATATTCACGCCATATAGGAACAAATTTCCCAAACAAATTGAAGTCTGAAGGTCTCTTTCTGCTGCCATTGATCCTGGTTTTATACCGGCTTAACTTCAGGGGAGTTTTACTGGTTTTTACTGAGGGCTAATCCTAGCCTAATAAGCGCTGTGTTGTGGAGATGGTTGAAGTATATAGAGAACTGTTCACCATCTGTGCAAAAAAGAACAAAGTGATCCTCACTAAAAATAGGAGACATTATAGCTTTTCCTTGCATTTAATCAGTGCTGATTAAGTATGTAAATGAGTTCATTAGCATTCAGAGTTGTGCTCCTCTCTACTTCTCCATGCAACTGTACAGGTAACAGGCTAACCTCCTCCGTGTGCAATTAGGCATATGCTGCCACAAGCGCTTCCACAGTGCGGGGCTGGGCTGCAGTTCCAGGCTCTGCCGCTACCCAGGACTTGAAGGGATGGTAAATGCCTCTGCTTCACCCTGGCATGCAGGGAAGGACAGGGACTCCCTACCTCGTATTCCTCGCTCTGGGCGGAGGGAAGCACAGGGAGTTTGTGGATCTTTAGTTCAAGTGAGCTGGCCGGGAGGGTTGAGAGGGCATGCTATGTTGAGTTATAAGTTGCCCCCCACCCAGCTGAGCCAACTAGTTGCCCCAGAATAAGCTTTGGTTTCTTCTTGGGATGATGCCACCCAAGGCTGTAAACTGGCTCTCAGGCTTCAGATCTGTTGCATCAAATACGGGACAACAAAGGCAGGGAAAACTTGACTGTTATGGAAGCAGTTTCTGCCACATCTCCCTGCAAAACCCCCCTCTGGTCCGTTAAACAGAGTGCCTCTTTAGGCTGGTGCAGCCTGCACCCGCTTTTCCTGTACCCAGTCTGGCATTTGAAGTGCCGCGGCCCCTCTTCCTGCCTCCTCCTTTATGACGACGTGTGTCCAGAAGGCCGATGGAAGGAGCAGCTTCTGATCTGCCCATCGTGGTGGGTTCAGAAAGAGGGGAAGAGTCCCTGTGCCCGGACCCATTACTGTGGGCACTTGTGTAAGGGCAAGTCCTGCTCGTCCCTGCAGTGTTTTCAGACGGTTATAAAGTTGGAAGTTTACCCTGTTTTGTCACATTCTGCTAAGTTTCGATGCTTGCTTGTCAAGGGGATATTGATTCCTCCGTCTAAGATGCTGGTCATTTGGATTCCCTTAATCCACAAGCAAAGAGCAACTGTTTTCCTGAATGCGTCCTGCTAAGATCCGCTCGTCTGTTCATAGCCGCTCAGATGCTGATGCTTCTGAGTCAGCCCAGGAGTAGAAAGAAGTGGGTCACTCGCAGCAGGATTAAATGGGGTTGCCCCTCCAGAGATCAGCTCAGATTTATGTGTCATTCCCCTCCACCCACAGCCCTTCAGTCTCCGCTAGTGTGTAAGGGTCAAAGTGTCACAACGTGTGAAAGGAAGCGCTCATTGTTCGGACTCTGAGCCGAGCTCAGGAAATGTGGGGTTTCAGCTAGCAGGAGAAATGAGCGTGCCGCACACCTTCCTCCAGCCCTTTGTGCTTGCGCTCGCTCCTCGGCCACGCGCGGAATCGGGAGCGTTTTGTTCTTGCTCTTTGCTTGCTTTGCTGCTAAGCTTTAACCCCTCTCCCTGTTTTGCCCCAGGGACTCAGCGGTTTCCAACAACAAGACTCCGCACAATAGCTCCATCAGCCACATTGAATCTGTCCTTCAGCAGCTCGACGAGGCCCAGGTACAGATGGAAGAGCTTTTCCATGAGAGGAAAATTAAGCTAGACATTTTCCTTCAGCTCCGGATCTTTGAGCAGTACACCATCGAGGTAAGAACTGGCTCGGGGGCTGGAGGAAGGTAGACCGGGTGTGATGGAGCGGGGGGGACCACGACTCTGCCAGGATACACGGCGGTCCTCGAAATCTCCGAAGAGTTTGATGATGCTTGTGGACTGGAACTAGAGGGCGAGTAAAAGTCAGGTGTCACAGTAGAAATTTAGAAACCAGCAGTAATATACTTTGGTGACATGTTAAGAGAATACGATAGGATAGGATCACGTCTGCTCAGCTGACTGTGTCAGCGTCTCTTGTGCTTTGGTGCCCAGTTTTGTAGCAGGCTGCTGGTATGTCCTCTGAACGTTTCCTTCTCACTTGCAGGTGAGAATTGCCTCTTCGGGTGTACTTTCCAGCACTGAGCGTCTGAGTAAAACAAAATATTAAGTACCAAAGCAGGAGATCTCTTAGAAAACAGGATACAAGTGTAACAGTGATTTTCTGCAATAAAGGGTGAAAAAAGGAAACCCGAAGTTTATCATCGAGGTTTTTATTTTGTTTATCTGTTCACAGTGATATAAAAGTCTTACAGTGTTACCCTTGGACTGGTTTTTGAAAGGGAAAACTGGGTAGAAAAAACTGTTCAGTGTATTAAATGACTAAGGCATTCTTGGACTGAGGAACGTAGAAAGAGATTTGGAACCAATCCGTTGAACTATATACAGTAACACAGATTGCACGTGATACTAAAGACATGGATGTTAATTCATTTGCATCGAATGTACAGTGTGTTAACATACATGGCCCATATGAGGTATGGAATTGCTTCTGTTGTTTATTTGTGAGTGTCCCAAGCCACAGCTGGGAGTAAATCAACCTGTTAATGTGGCACTTTGTTTGAGGTGTTTTATGATAATATATTCCTGAAGGTGTCATATAATTCAGAAAATGTTCTGGAGGTCTGTACTGACAGCTAATGGGAGCTCTAGAGTACTACAGCACACTTCAGAGGTGACAGTTTATTTTAAGTGATGACAAGCAAAGTCCTACGTGCAAAGTTATAATGAAAAGCTGTGAATGTGAATTCCTGGATGCACTGATGCAAAAGATACAAAATGGTACCCAAGCTTTCCAGTTATTTCTGCACAGCTGGGCATCCTAGTAAAAGCTACTCTATGATGTTTACTATTACAATAAATGTGAACAGTCTCATTAAAATAGTTCTTTGCGTACCATTTACACACAAGCACTCAGGGACTTGCAATATACTGTGTGTATGTATGAGTGTCAGCATACGTGTATGCAGAGGAGTATAAATACAGTATTTATATTTACATTTATGCATGCATATTTATATTGTGTATGTGTATAAATATATGTGCTTCTTATATATGTATGTACATATATAAACATAAAATATACACATGTATATGTGTATATACACATATATGCATATACACGTGTGTATGTGCATACACAATATAAATAAATTGCACATACGATATGTTTCTGTATGTAGTTGCCTTATCAACATTCGCCATTCAAATACCTGCCATAACTTTCGGATCTTGTATCGCAAAATGGCAAATGCTGAATATTTAATAACTCATTCTTCATGGGTATTTATTTGCACGCACAAACAATGCACTTTATTAGATTGGAATAAAATAGGCCTGTGGGCATGGAACAGGCATATATGTTCACCCTCAACATATACTGTATGGTTACAGTGGGGTCAGATGCTTTTAAGACCTCCAAACCCTGGGGATTATTCTGGACTTCATTACAAAACCTAATTCGGGACCAAGAGCGCAGTAGGGATTCAAATAATGCTCTGCAGGGCAAGATGGCTTCATAGTGCCTTCAGCCATATAAAACCAACAGGCTTGGCCTTTATGCAGTGCTCCAGGCACTTCCCCAAGGTGGGTGGGTATCTTTATCTCATTTTTATTCTTCGGAAGCTGAGACTCAGAATAGGGATGACACTGGCTCATGAACCATCAGTCAGTCAGTATTACAATTGAGTATGGAGTCCAGGTTTTTCTCTGGTTTATCCCAGTATGGATACACAGATGTCTGACAAGATATCTGTCTCGCCCCTCCCAGCAAATGTCAGGGTAATTAAAAAGTGAACATCTCAATTCCCAGTGCAAGCTTATTATTATTATTTATCAGGGTTTTAAAAGTTTGACATTTTGCTTAAGTAGGAACTTGAAGGTGAATGAGCCATCAGTGATGATTTGCTGATTATTACTATGAGAACATAGCATCGTAGAAAATGAGGGGTGAAAAGGGACCTCAGGAGGTCACATCTAGTCCAACCCCCTGCTCAGTGCAGGACTAGCCCCATCTATACACTATCCCAGCCAAGGCTTTGTCTAGCCGGGTCTTAAAAGCCTCCATGGATGGAGATGCCACCACCTCTCTGAGTAACCCATTCCAGTGCTTTACTACTCGCCTCATGAGAGAGATTTTTCTAATATCTAACCTAAACTTCCCTTGCTGCAACTTGAGCCCATTGCTCCTTGTTGTGTTATCTGCCATCACTGAGAACAGCCCAGCTCCATCCTCTTTGCAACCCCCCTGCAGGGAGTTAAAGGCTGCTATTAACTCCCTCTCACTCTTCTCTTCCCCAGACTGAAGAGCCCGATTCCCACAGCCTGTCCTCAGAAATGATGTGCCTCAGTCCCCAAACCATTTTTGTTGCCGTCGGCCAGACTCTCTCCAATTTGGCTACATCCTTTCTGCAGTGGGGGGCCCAAAACTGGTCACAGCACTTCAGATGTGGCCTCACTAATGCTGAATAGAGGGAAATAATCACTTCCCTCAATCTGCTGGCACCATCCCTGCTAATGCAGCCCAGGATGCTGTCAGCCTTCTTGACAACAAAGACACACTGCTGGCTCCTATTCAGCTTATTGTCCACTGCCACTCCCAGGTCCTTTTCTGCAGAGCTGCTGCTTAGCCAATAGGTCTCCTGCCTGTACCAGCACATGGGCTTGTTCCATCCTAAGTGCAGGACTTTGCACTTGTCCTCATGAGATTTCTTTTGGCCCAATACTCTGATGTGTCTGGGTCACTCTGAATCCTAGCCCTACCCTCCAGTGTATCTACTACTCACCCCAGCTTGATGTCATCTGCAAACTTGCTGTGGGTGCACTCCATCCCATCTTCCAGGTCGTTGATGAAGATATGGAACAAAACTGACCCCTGGGGCACTCCACTTGATACTGGGTGCCAACTAGACATTGAGCCATTGGCTACTACCCTCTGAGCCTGATGATCCAGCCAGTTTTCTGTCCACTTTACAGTCCTTTCATCCAACCCATACTTCCTTACCTTGTGGACTTGTACATGTGCAGCCTTTCTAAACAGTCTCTAAGCTGTTCTTTCACCACTGTTGCCTGTTCACTTTCTCCCCAAGCTGTGCTGTTAGGTGCAGTGGTCTGGGAGCTGACCTTGCCTGTGAAGACTGAAGTAAAAAAGGCATTTCTGCATCCTCTGTCACTACATTGCCTCCCCTGTTCAGTAAGGGACCCACACTTTCCCTGATCCTCCTCTTGTTGCTGACATACTTATAGAAAACCACCTTTTTACCTTTTACATCCCTTGCTAGCTGCAATTCCAGGTGTGCTTTGGCCTTCCTGACATCATCCCTGCATGCCCAAGCAGTGCTCTTATACTCCTCCCTAGTTGTTTGTCCAAGTTTCCACTTCTTGTAAACTTTCTTCTTGTGTTTTAGCTACTGAAGATTTCCCTGCTGAGCCAAGCTGGTCTTCTGCCATACTTGCAGTCTTCCTATGCAGTGGGATAGTTCATTCCTGCACCTTCAGTAAAGTTTCTTTAAAACACAGCCAACTCTCCTTGACTCCTTTTCCCCTAAGATTGGCCTCCCAGGGGATCCTGCCCATACGTTCCCTGAGTGAATCCAAGTCTGCCTTTCTGAAGTCCAAGGTCCTTACTCTGCTGCTCTCCATCCTTCCTTTCCTCAGGATCCTGAACTCAATTGTCTCGTGGTCGCTACTGCCCAAGTTGCCATCCACTACTACATTCCCCACCAGTTCTTCCCAATTTTTGAGTAACAGGTCAAAAAGAGCACAGTCCTTAGTTGGCCTCTCCAGCACTTGCACCAGGAAGTTGTCCCCAGCACTCTCCAAAAACATCCTGGATTGCCTGAGCATTGCTGTCTTGCCCTCCCACCAGATGTCAGGATCACTGAAAACTGAACATCTGAACTCCCAATGCAAGCTTATTATTACAAAGGGATCTGTGACTGCATTTCTGATTTGGAAAAGGGAGCCTGCTTGGCACATAATTTTAGTTGTTAGAGATATTTTTTGTAATGTAGTTCTCATTTTAGAACAATTACAATATTTAATTAAGAACTGATCGCAGAGAATGGGAAAACTTTATATCCAGGTCAGCATAAGCAATGTATACATCTGTTAGCCTTCAAGCAAGGAAAATAACTTGAGTGATGCTAAAAAGAAATTTGCAATTTGAAATGTATATTAAATGTCACATTTAGATTATACATCTCAAAAAGCAGCTGAATTGGCTCAAATTGACACAGGGATAATCCTTAGATACTAGACTGCAGGCATTTGTTTCAGATTTTATAAAGGCTCTTATGGGTCCATAATGGAACCATTATCAACATTAATACCACTATATTATCCCACTGTTAGTTTAGGAAACAAAAATATTTTCCCATCATCATAATTAAAATACTTGTAATGTTCCACTATTATAAACTTGGCAGCTAAGTGAGCAGAGAAATGAAGAACAGAAAATTATGCCTTAAGTAAAATGTTTTTTTCTTGAGTATGGGTTGCTTGAACTATAGCTGGGGGTATGTGTGTTTTTAATGGCCCACATTCTCAGATGCACAAATATACCATGGTTAGGAGCAGAGACCATGCTGTGGAAATCAGGCATATGAATGTGAAGTCCACCCCTGCGATTCTCTGATTCCTCCTCTCCTGTGCTGTTGTAAGTTCCTTTCTCTCTGTCCAGAGATGACAGTGATACCTGCCTTCAGCCCAACCAAACCTCC